TCTGAAATTACAGCTATCAGTCGGTTTGAAGATGGTGTCTTTCTTTTTATTTTTTAAGTTTGTTTTTGAGAGAGAGAGCACCTGTGCGCACCTGTATGAGTGCGCGTGTACTCTGAGCGGGGCAGGGAGAGAGAGAGAGCACGCGTGTGAGCAGGGGAAGGGCACAGAGAGAGAGAGAGAGAGAGAGAGAGAGAGAATCCCAAGTAGGCTCATGCACTGTCCGCACAGAGCCCGACGTGGGGCCGGAAATTCCCGAACCGTGAGATCATGACCTAAGCTGAGAACGAGAGTCGGACGCTTGACCAACTGGGCCCCCAGGCGCCCAGACGGCGTTTCTCTTTCTAATCTTTCTTTCCGGTCTCTGGCAGAGTAGTTCTTTGAGAAGCGGCTCCCCTCTCAGCATCTCTGACCCTCACGTTAAGGCAAAGGGATGAAAGCCTGTTTTCCGCTCAGGGGGGCGGAAGGCTGCAGGAACACCTTCCTGCTTCCGGGAAGTTGCGTTCTGCATTCTTTGAGAACGAGAGAAATGCCGTTAGCCGTTGGGTGAGGGACTTTGTGTGGCTGGAGCGTGGATCGCAGCCCTGAACAGAGCGGCGTTTTCAGCGATGCCACGTGCTGGTCACTAGAGTGTTCCGTCAGTTTGACAGATTCGGTGACGCGCGCTTTGTGGGTGGGAACGTTCCCCGGGGCCTGTCGCCGGGGTAACCTCCGTCCCCGCTCTCGCTCGTGTCCTAGTTCCTCCTGTACTGCGAGGGCACGCGCTTCACGGAGAAGAAGCACCGCGTCAGCATGGAGGTGGCCGCCTCCAAGGGGCTGCCCGCCCTCAAGTATCACCTGCTGCCTCGAACCAAGGGCTTCACCACGGCGGTCCAGTGCCTCCGGGGGACAGGTAAGCGGCCGCCACCTGCCCTGGGCTCTGCGAGCAGCAGGACGGGAGAGTGACCTGCCCCGAGCCACGCAAATGACATGTGAGATACAGGCAGAGGCAAGTGGGTGGGGCTAACGTGTGTGAGGCTGTCGTGTCCTTTCTGACACGATGGAACGTTAGTTAGTGGGGAATCAGCAAAGCGATGAGAAAGCGTGTAACCGGAAACCTTACGAGGGGAACCGTATGTGTTCCTGATTAATCCCAACGGAGGCAAGATCAAAGAGAGGGGACAAAGAGCAGAGCATGTAGGAGGCAGCCAGACAGTAAACTTGGACACGAACGGTCAGTAACTGCACTCGACCCGCGTACCCACGTGGCAGGAAGGTGAGCCTGCGGTGGGGCGCAGGACTGTGCGGGGCGGGTTCGGGGTTGTGCGGGTGCTGAGCTGCGCGTGCGTGCCGTGCGGCGTGGGCACGACGCTGTGGTGCAGGGGTGGGCGCTGAGGGATGCGGGGGCGGAGTGATGCGGGCGCAGGGGCAGGTGCAGGTGTGCTGCGGCCCTGGCCCAGGGCTCACCCCCACCTCTCCCTACAGTCGCAGCCGTGTATGACGTCACGCTGAATTTCCGCGGAAACAAGAACCCGTCTTTGCTGGGGATCCTCTACGGGAAGAAGTACGAGGCAGACATGTGCGTGAGGTGAGCTGGGAGGGTCCCCGCCAGTGGCAGCCACCCCCGCCCCCCGCCCACCTCCCCAGCCCCTGGCACTGGGCCCTCCCTGCGCCCAGTGGAGGCAGCCTTCTCCCCAGGACTGCAGATGTGGGGACAGACACAAGCACCCCTCCTGCAGGGTGGAGGGGTGGGTGCGGGGGTAAAGGCAGAAAGTTCTGGAAGCTCAGGGGGAGCAGCAACCCCTTCTTTTTAAAAGGGGCTGAGTGAGGTTCAGCTTGGACAGTGACCAGGCTTGTTCTCGACAGAAGGGTGAGCTGTCCCAGCTCAAGGGGCCGATGCTCTTAGTGGGGACTGTGAGGCCAGCTCAAGTGTGATTCCATGCGCGCCCTCCTGCTCCGCTTTCTGTCCGAATATCCCTGGGGAGACTTGTCCGTCCCTCCGTCCCTTCAAATGCCCGGGAGGGCAGGACCTTCCCCGGCGTGTGGGCGGGTCCCGTGGAGCCTTTAGCTCCTGTGTCTGACACCCACCAGCACCGGCTGGGTGTCTAGCCGGTCACGCTGGCCCTCGTCAGAGGCCCCCCTCCGGTGAGTGTGGAGAACGTGAGCAGGTACACGTTTGAAACAACGACACCTAGTCTCCCCACCAGGAGTAACTTTGTGAATGTGAAGAGTAAGCCGGGAGGCTTTTTCCTTCTGAAGTTTGCAGCAGACTGGCTCGAAGTAGGTGTAAGGCCTCGTTGCATCCTGGGGTGGGGAGAGAGCCCGGGATCCTTGCCCTTAGGCCTCGAGAACCACCAGGGACTGCGTGGCCGATCTGGGGCTGACCTGACCCTGGCCGTGACTCCGACCAGAACACATGCCGTGGTCCAGGGCAGTGCCAACAGTGGCGGGCTCTGTGTCCTCCCTCACCTAGCCGGTCCCCGGGGAGTCAGGGGTGCGCCTCGGCCACCAGGGTCTGAGCTGGCGGGTGAAGGAGCTGGGGGAACTCTGTGGTCCAGCCCCAGGCCGGTGCCCACGGCCGCCGCACCGGTTACCTCTCCGAGTGGACGGTGCCCCCCGCCCCCCCCCACCAGCAGGAGGAGACCCGTTCCTTCCTCTGTTCGTCGTGCCCTTTATTGCAGAAGGCATGGAGTTATATTTTACCTAACTAATCTCATAATGGGTATGTGCTTAGAGCTTCTAAAGGTTTCAACTTCCTGTTTTGTGATACTTGCCATGGGGTATTTTGAATAAAAGCAGGATTCCGACGAGTGCAAAACATGCTTCTAATCCAGCCAAAGTTCTCCTGGCCCGAGGGGGCTTTCCCCTTTGACCCCACCTCCTGTCCCCTCCCGGTGAAGTTGTCCTGGGGGCAAGGTCAGGGGCATTTGGTGGTGGTGGCCCAAGCTCCCCGTGTCTGTGCTGGCCCTTGGGGCAGAAGCCTTGAAGAGGCTTGAGTCGACGCCAGGAGATAGGTGCCAGTCTTTATCTTTATTTTCAGCACCATTTTGAGTCCTTATTTTATACGTTTCATACTGCACGTGGCCACCTTGTGATAGAACGTGGCTGCGGCATCCACTCTGGGATGTGGATGTACAGCCAGGGAGGGCAGTCGAGTGAGTTTTAAGCCCTTAGCAGCCATCCCTCTGTAGACAGCCCCCTTCTGAACTTCGTGTCCTCACCTGTGGCACACCAGTTCCCAAGAACTTTGGGGGTCCACAGAGCCACCCAGAGGCTGCGTGTCGTGTGGCCCCCGCGCCACTCCCATGTCTGACAGCACATGTGCTTATAAAACTTTGCTGGTTTCCTTCCAAATACGGGGAAGATCGGGAGGTCTAATCCGCAGAAGCAAAGTTCTCCATTTTCTTAGACACAGGGTTGGGATGCCTTCAGCCAGAGATTCTCCCAGGGCCGCTCTTACTCTGGCCTGCTGGGTGGGCCCCGGCGCCCCCTGCTGGCGATCTCAGGTGCTGCGGCTGCCGCGGGTCCCCGTCCTTGCCCCGGTTCCCCTCCCCAGCTGGACACCCGGGCTCCAGGGCCGGTAATGGTAATGCGGCTGCTGATCACTTTCGTAAATAAGTTCGTGTCTGCACTGGAGTCAGCTGTCTGTGAGTGAAGATTGAAGTCCTGAATCTCTCTCGCTTTTCGTATTTGGAGCACGTAGCTTTCGTTTGTGAAATACATAATTTTCTTGGCCTAGTGGAAGCCACTCTCGGTTCTATTTCCAAAGAACGAACCATTAAGACCCAAACTCCTGCTGCAGCCCACAAATGCCCGCCCTCCACAGTGGGAACGGGACACGATCTGCCCAGGAGAACCCCTCGTGAGAGTCGCTGGCTTTGCCTCGAAGGTGAATGGTCTCCTGGCCCTCCCTCCGGGGCCCCCGCAGCCCCGCGGGGCTCCAGGCGCTCCACTGTGCCCGGGTGGACGCCCTCGACATTTGTGTGTTTTTAGGAATTGAGAGTGAGGTGTGACCAGAAAAGGCGGGGGGAGGGGGCAGAGAATAACCGAGCTGTGCCACGATTATGTCCCCTTTTCTGTGCGATGCCATGCAACAGTGAGCCACTTTGCTCTCGATCTTAACAAAACAGGAGATTCCCTCTGGAAGAGATCCCGCTGGATGAAAAGGAAGCAGCTCAGTGGCTCCACAAACTGTACCAGGAGAAGGTAACGGCACTCAGCTTTCCTCCCCGGGGGCTCGTGAAGAGGTCTCGAAGGGGCGGCTCGCAGGGCAGGTGGGACCTTCCGGAGACGGGGGCGGGGCGTCTGCAGTCCTCGAACACTTCTACCTTCTTTATTCTTTCCATTTTCTTGTGAGAAATCAACACGCTGGAGACGAGTGTAAAGGATAACACGGTGCCTCTACAACCGCGGCTGGTTAACGTTCTGTCACATTTGTTTCCTTTTTCGTGTAAAAGAAGGTATCGATCTGTAGCCTCCACATATATATATATATGGGGTGTGTGTGTGTGTGTGTGTGTGTGTGTGCGCGCACGCGCACGCGCGCACACCACAGGTGACACGAGGTTATCCTTATGCCCCCCACCCCGGTCCTTCCCTCTCCATTCCCCGGTAGCACGCCCTGCCCTGAACGCCCTGCCAGCTTGGTTTCCGTATGTGGGCAGGACGTTAGATCTTCATCTTCAGCATCGTGGGAGGCGTAGAGAATGAGAAAGTCCTTTCTGCATTCAACAAGTACCCTTTTAAAGGCACTGACGAGCTCTTAAGAAAATCTGGGAAATCTCTAAGGGTCAAAAAAAGAGGTTGAGCTGAAAAGCAGGTGGCGAGCCTGTGACCCGGGAATGCCACGCTCCACCAGCGGGTTTTGCGAGTCCCCTTAACCTGGAGTCTTGATTTTTAACGCCTACCCGGAACAGAAGATCAGGGTTTGATCTCATGCCAGGTCCCTGAGATCCTGAGATCCAGGCCTCAGGACCCTCCGAGAGTTTTCCCTCGCACGGTGAACTGAAAGAAACCTACTTTCCAGTGCAGGGAAATGGCTCTGACGCTCCCCCTTCTCCTCTTGGTCTGAACAAGGGCTCCCTGATAACACGTAACCACACGTCTGCCCTCGAACGGCTATGCTAGCAACACAGCTCAAGGAGAATAGAACCAAAACATCAACACAAGTGGTTCTGGCAAATCACTAGAGTTCCTGAGAGAAGCCCACGCAGGACCGGAGGGACGTTCCTCCAAACCTCAGCTGCTCACGATCTCCACGGGGAAAATTCTGTCGGGGAGGAGCTCATAACCAGACCACGTGGGCAGGGCGCACAAAGAACCGAAGAGGTAAACTCTCCAAAAACTGCAGCCAGTGGAACTGTCAGAGACTAAAGTCAGTGCGTCCAAAGCGATGGGGCAGAAAGAAGGAACTGAAAAGAAAAGGGAAGGATCTGCAGAAAAAAAGGCAGATTTAAGAAAAACCGAGTCGAATTTGTAGGCAGGAAAAATCTAGCTGTTGACAGTAAAATCTTAATTAATAGATTGAACAGCAGACTTGATACAGCTGAAGACACAATTAGTAAAGTGGAAGATGGAGAAGAAATTCCTGGGAAGGTAGCGGGAGGGAGTGCACACACAAAAGGAAGTACAGAAAACACGGAGGGCAAAGTGAGAGGTCCAGAAAAGAACTGCTGGTGGGTAAGAGACAGGAGTGGTGAGGAGCAGGGGTCAGAAGACCGCCGTCAAGCTTCTAGCACGCGTCAGGTTCAAGAGCCACAAGTCTGGAACAGGGTAAGTGAAAAGATATCCACTCCCCAATTATCACTGAAATTGCAGAACACCCAAGACAACCAGGAGCTCTTAGAACAACCAGAGAGAAAAGACCGATTCCCCGGGAGGGAATGACTGTCACGTTGACGTTAGACACACGTCTTACTATGTATCACAACCTCTTCTGAATGTCTTATGCACGTTTTGTCCTCACAGCAACCGCACACAACACTCTGGCAGGTGCATACGTTATACGTGAATACACGTAGAAAAACAGAGAGCACACACAAAATAGAACAAAGAAAATAATAAAAACAGCATATGTCATTGCGATGGAAAGCAAAGCCACAGGAGTGAATCAGCTGTACCACATGCTTTTCCTGTGAAAATATTAATGATCTAGAAATCCCCGGGCAAGACCGACCAGTTAGAAGCGTGATTGCATCAGTAGAGACAGAAAGGTGAGCTGACCAGAGAGCAGAGGACAATGGTGACAGTAGCATCTCTCACTTAATGCCCGTACATTTGAAAACTTAGACGGCACGCGGGATTTCCAAGAACACAGCTCTCTGCCGAAGAGAAACGCAGCCTACGTGCAGAATCCGTACGGCGTGTGTGTCTCGGGTCGGTGGAAAGGCAGACCTGGCACTCGCCAGCTGGAAGCGGGGAACGCGTCCCTGAATCTAGGTCCGCATCAAAGAGTTTGAAACTCTTGCCACAGACATTTGTGAGCAACGGCATTTGCGCAGCGCGAGATGAGCCATGACCTGGTGGCGCGTTACTGGAAAATAGGGACCCCGTGTGTGCGCTTCCATTCGCTAAAATTCCATCCGCGTGAACGAACTGCGGACCATCAACACGGCTACACCTTGGGGATGTGGTGTATGGAGATAGCCGGCCGCGGTGTGTGGGGGACGTATGACACCCCTCATGGGAGGCTGCCAGCGCGTCTCGCACGCGTGCCCGTTGAGCGTGTGTGTGATCGGTGTGGGGGGAGCATGGTGACCCCGGAGGGGACGGAGCGGGGGCCTCATCTCCGGCTCCCAGGTGTACCTCCCCAGATCACCTGGTGCAAATGCACCAAGCGACAAGTTTTGACATCGGCAACTTTTTGGGGTATTTTTATATTATCTGCCATGTTTTTTCTCGAGTATCGAGACATATACTAATACGGTAGGCTGGCTGTCCTTCCTGTCACATGTATTTTACAGTAAGGACCGCATACCGCGTGCTGTCTGTTTTTTCTTTCTCCGGTCACCATCGTTTTTGTGTCTGTCAGCGTTGACGTACGCAGATTTAACTCACTCCTTTCCTTTTTTTTTTTTTTTTTTTCAAGGTTTTTTATTTTTGGGACAGAGAGAGACAGAGCATGAACGGGGGAGGGTCAGAGAGAGAGGGAGACACAGAATCGGAAACAGGCTCCAGGCTCCGAGCCATCAGCCCAGAGCCTGACGCGGGGCTCAAACTCCCGGACCGCGAGATCGTGACCTGGCTGAAGTCGGACGCTCAACCAACTGCGCCACCCAGGCGCCCCTCACTCCTTTTCTTTTAGAAGATCTTTGAAAAGAAATTTTTTTTTAAATTTAATAAATTCCACCCCCGATGTGGGGCTCAAACTCACGACCCCAAGATCAGGAGTCCCGCTCCAATGACCGGGCCAGCTGGGCACCCCAGTTCACTCTGCTTAAATGCCCCCTTCTGGCATTGTGCCATGGGTGACGGCCTGTTGTCCCCTCTGCGGACAGTCAGGTCGTGTCCCACTCCGTGCTGCGCGTTTCTTGGAGACACGGACTCGTGCTGTCACCGCTGGCGTAGCCCACTCACTTTGTGAAATGTTTCTAAGCCGTGCTTCGAGGAGACGTCCAGTTCACGCTGAGCGTGAGAGGCCCCTTGCCCCCTGGGTCGTGTGAGTAGAGGGTCCGGCTGGCCCCCTGCAGCGACCAGACTCAGCACTTGGATCCCGATGCCACAAACAGCCTCTGAGCGACGTTGACACCCTACACGGCTACCTCCGGTCATAACCTAGGAACGGACCACGCTCTCACCGGCGGAGTACAGAGGTCGTGCCCCGCGGCTTCCCCATTCTGCAGATGTGGAGACGGGGCTGCGGGTGCCAGGCGGAGCCGTCCCTGGGCCTCCCGGCCTCCTGCCCTCACGCCGTCTGCGCGCCTGCTGCACGGTCAGGAAGTGGTACCGTGAGGCCAGCGCTCCTGCCTCCTGGCCACTCGAGCCCTCCTAGAATGTGCGCTCTGGGCCCGTGGCCCCGGGGCCCCTCCACCGCCAGGCTTCGGGGGGATGAGGTCAGGTGTCTGCAGGCGTTGGCGGTTGGGATCCTCGCCAGCGCCAGCATGTTGAGCAGAGGTTTGCAAGGAAGGGAGCAGACGGGGCAGGGGAGGGTCGGGAGGAGAGGGCACGAGCTCCGAGAGCCAGCTCCAAGAGGCCGCCTCGGCGGGTCGGGCCCAGCATTTCGTCTCAGTGAGACAGACCCAATGTGACCGAGTCTGAATGCTCCCGTGTGCCATGGGTGAGTGCCGTTCCCCCTGAAATGCGGGCCAGGGCCACATGCCGAGTGCATGTGCACACTGGCACACACTTCCCGCCGGGGGAGCCCCGTTCAGAATGGTGCGGAGCGCCTCCGCCCGGGAGGAGCGGGTGTGTACGTGCCGCGGGGGCGTGAGCACTGGGCTTTTGTACAGGTCCTCCCTCAGGACAGCGGGTGGGCTTGGCCGCCTCCCTCCCCCTCCCCCACCCCGGCAAGCAGGATCCTGCCACCACTCCCGGGTGGGTGTTGACAGGGGGTGGACCTGAGCCCTCCCGGTTAGACAGGGCAGTGGGCGGGACCAGCAGCCCTGAGAGGAGCCACGCCCCCTCCCCCGGGGAAGCAGACCGGTGCCTGCAGGAAAGGATGTCCCTGACCGGAGGAGCCCCTCCCCTGGGAGACCTGGGGGCAGGGGGATGCGTTGTGGCAGGTGCACGACTGGGCTCCAGGCAGGTCAAGGCCGTGCCCCACCCGCCCCGCCTTCAGAAGGTAGCAGGAGGCGATGAGGTCAAGGCGGAGGTGACTGCCTGTGCCTGGCTGGCTTTGAGCTCTGACACAAGCAGCCGAGGGGCTCCGCGAAGGACACACCGTCCCGCATCTGCCGCGCGCTCACGGCTCGCCGCTTTCTTTACGCGGAACTGTTTTAGGCTGAGTCCGTTTCCGTGGTCAGTACCGGTCAGTACAGCGGCCACTGTCGTTGACTCTTTCAGGACGCGTTGCAGGAGATGTATAACCAGAAGGGCGTGTTTCCAGGAGAGCAGTTCAAACCTGCCCGAAGGCCGTGGACGCTTCTGAATTTCCTCTTCTGGGCCACGGTCCTGCTGTCTCCTCTTTTCAGCTGTGTCTTCGGCGTCTTTGCGAGTGGTTCCCCCCTCCTGATCCTGACGTTCCTGGGGTTTGTGGGGGCAGGTAACGCACGCGAATGATAGCACAGCTCAGGGTCGGGGATCTTCTGAGCGCCAGCCGCAGAGCTCCGCAGGGAGCTGGGTGCGCCTGGAGCCCTTTTGGCCTCAGAGAGCGGGCTCTGTCGCTAAGCCACAGGGTCGTGGAGACCACAGCCAGGTCCCGGGGCCACGTGCTCTTGTGGCATCCTTGCTGAACTGGGCAGGCGCCTGTGGGGAGTCCCTGAGCTACTCTGTCTGCGTTCGGGTTTGGGGGGCTTGGGGGGGCTTGATGGTCTGAGGGTCTCTGAGGACATGGTCATTACTGTCCCGAACAGAATCGTGGGCGCTCAGGACTCCCCAGGTGTCCTTGTCGGAGGGACGGGCACCCAGTCTGCCCCTGGGCACCTCACAGGGCAGTGCAGCCCCCACCAGGCCCGCACCCACCTCCTGGCGCTGGAGGAGCGGAGGCCATCACTCCCCCCCCCCCCCCCCCACGGGCTGAGCCCGGCAGTGGGAGGGGCCGGGGGAGGGGAGAGGGCTGGCCTGCCATCCCCTCGGGACCCTGCCCAGCAGCGAGTTCCCTCGTGGGACGGCCAAGCCATGGGTCTAACCTTGCCTCTTTCCTATTTCAAAGCTTCCTTTGGAGTCCGCCGGCTAATAGGAGTAACTGAAATAGAAAAAGGCTCTAGCTACGGAAACCAAGAATTTAAGAAAAAGGAGTGATTCCTGGCTGTGGTTGCGCACACGTAACCCGACGGCGGTGTCCAGTTAACTCAAAAACAGAACCACACACCCAGATCGGAGGAAAAGACACTTAGAAACTATTTTTCTTATTAACTGGTGACTAATCTCAACCAATAAACCTTGAGCCAAGAGCAAAGCCGTCGGAAGGCCTGCGGACGAAGACGCCAGCGGCACCCCGGGCGGGGTCCCAGGGTCCCACGAGCCAGGCTCCGAGGGCGCCGTGCGTGCGGGCCCACCGCTGCGGGGGGCCGGGTCCCACCCCACCGCGACCTCGCGAGAATTCTGCCTGCCAGAGGGAGCCTTCGGCCGCTTTCTCTTCTTAAACTTAGATCCATTTTTGGTTTTTACCAGTTATTTTGGGAACTCCCCCTGCCCCCGCCTCCTCCCCTGACCCCAGCCAACCCTCCCCGGCCCTCCCGAGAACGAGGACATGTCAGCCCCCAGGCCCACAAAGCACCTGCCCGTCCTGTCTTCACATACGGGTGTTCTCGGGTGACCGGGGCGGGCCGAGCGCCAGGTGGCCGGGCAGGTGCCCCTGAGCTGGCGGTGGGGACGCCCCACCCCGGCTGCCTGGCTCCTCCCTGAGCCTGTGTGGAAGCACTTTACGTCTGTTTCTAAAGTGATCCGCCCCCTGAGACCTCTGTCCCTCTTTTTCCCTGCTCAGTCCTCAGCCCCTCTACTGGGCCGCACCCCTGCCGCCAGCCCCGGGGACAGCTGCCCTGCAGCCCACGGGCCTCTTGGATGTTGGTTTCAAAGAACGTCCCCACCAGACCTCCTCTCTTCTGGAGGCGGTTGGAGACTGTTCCCTGGGAGCTCGTCGGCTCCTAGGGGTTCTATTTTTGCTGTTGGTCTGTTCGTGGCTGTCGTCTCCCTGAGAAGTAGAGGTGGTGGCCCCCCCTCCCTTCCCTGAGCAGGTGCCTGGGTGCCCGGGGCGGGGCTGGGCACCTCCTTGCGCAGGCTTCGCCTGGGAGCCCGGGAGCACTGCCCCGCCTCAGCTCCCCCTGCTGGGGGGTGTCTGCCAGGGTCCCGACTTCGCTGCGGCCCTGGGCGTGGGGCTCCCCAGCAGGCCTCTCCCCAGACTCGGCTCAAGCATCCCGCTGTCCACTCGCTTGCATCAGACTTCTTTCTTAAACCTCCCGCGTGCTGTTTTCAAGTCACACCCCCCTCGCCTTTTTTTTCCTTCCCCCCCTCTTTTTAGCAAAGGAAGGAAAAGTAACGGGTGTTAGCCCTGGTGCACTGGAGCCAGCGTGCCGAATAGAGGCAGGTTGGGTTTTCTAGGAGAAAAGGTGGAGGAAAGAGGCATGGAGAAGATATAGACTAAATTGGACAAGTGCCTCTGCATCAGCCCTAAGTGTGTATTCTGGGAGGCTCTCTGGGGACAGCACGCGGTCTCTAGGACGAGGACGCTGCTGGGTTCTGGGTGAGAGCACCCCGCCCTCCCCCCGCTGCAGGGGGGGCCCCCCGCGGGTTAGTCTGCTCTCCTGTGGCATGCTGCTCCCGGCTTCCGTGTTTGTGTCCTGTGCTAACGCACTAACACCTAAAGCATCTTGAGAACGCTGGGAGGGCGCTCCTGTGTGCATGCGGTCCCTAGAAGGCCCAGGTTTAGGTCTTGTACCTTGTAATTCATGGTTCTCCTTGGCCAGAGGAGTTCTCTCCCCCTGAAATGACTATGTACCGGGCACCCTCCTCCCAGAGCCACCGGAGGGGCCGTGCGGGGTCCGGGTACGATGGAGGCTGAGGGCGGGCATAGGTCTTAAGTCTCGGTGATTCCCTTCTGATCTAACACAGATGAGCCCGTGCATTTGGTGCCCAGACCTTGAGAGCAAGCAAACCTCACCATGG